AGCACAAAGCTATCTACAAACTAATAGGCCTATAGCATTATGAACGCAAGCAGCTAAGGCATTAGAAAGCTAATATCTTTGATGTAAGCAGATTTCAAAACTCAGTAATTCGTGAATAAGAATTTAGTCACCCTAGTTGGCTTGAGGGGATTTAATGACTGATATAGGAGTCTCCAACAATCATACAAGTAGGCCTTATTATATCAATGAAGCTCGCTTGGTCTTGTCCCCCAAAAGATTATATCATCCAAGATGAACTGCAGTTTCGACCTCGGCTATGTCGTATTAGCACCCCAATGGGCAAGTCGAGAAAATCATGGTTATGCTACTACTCCACTAAATAGCTATGAGTGTCAGTATATCGCAGGACAGATTTGACATTCAATGAAGGACAAACCTTATCCATATCACATTTATAGTCGGCTTGTTGGTTAAATGAACATGTATCTGTCGTTGCAATCGATGGCGTTACAAATAGCTTAAGATCAAAAGATTACTAAAAGAAGTAATAATGATAAAAAATAAAGATAAAAGAATAAATTTGCGTGTATAAGTAGGGTTTAGAGAATACCAGTAAATCAATCATGAGATATAATCATTCTATTTCATTTAAAGCAATAAAAGACTGGTAGTTGAATTTTCCTACAATGACATGAATAGAACGTATAGTCCCACTGAATTTTACTTATATCTGCTTCACAACAGGCATCCTCATCCAGGTTGGACTGTAGTTTTAACCTGGCCTAGGCATTACCAACACCTCCAACGGGACTCGAACTATGACAGCGCAGTATGTAATCTCGACACTCTAACCACTACGCAGCACTGGGTCACGGGTCAGATGTGTATTTCAAGGAAGGCCAGACATTTACTCATATCACATTCTTTGGTGGGATTGACAATGAAGCAGTCATATTTGCAATAAAAATAGACAACATTACTTATTTTTCTTTTATACATAGGATTTCGAGACATTCGTCACCGTAAACGAAATAGGGCGAATAGATATCAGATATCTGATTAACTGGTAGTTTTGAGACCCTACTTATAAACGAAATATAAGTAAGGTAGTCAATTGTTATAATAAATGCAGCCTTACTTCATCGACAATCTCACCAAAAAATGTGATATGGGAAAAGGCCTGGCCTACCCTGAAATTAATATCTGCTCTGCGACCCAAAGGCGCTCGTGGAAATGTGCTGAGATTATACTCCGCATTGTCATGGTCAAAGTCCCGCTGGGGGTTTTGATAATACCTAGATGAGGTGGAAATTTCAGTAAGGCTACGTAAAATTCAATGGAAATTTCAGGTCTACTCACATTATTGTTGGAAAAATTCAACAAACAGACTTTCATCACCTTAGAGAAAATAGGGTAAATACATCTCATATAAAATTTAAATGTTCGTAAAAAGTGAAAACAATGTAATATGATAAAAAGAGCAATAAGAATAAAAAGAAAAAAGAAAATAATGATGATGACAATCCGAAGGATATTCATATAAAAAAAAAACCATTAAGTCAAATAATAAGAATTTTATAAAATCACTGAAAAAATATAAATATAAAGAAAATACAAGATAAATATATGATAGGGAAAAAGGCAGTAAGGATGGCAAAATAGTGCATTAATTATAGTAAAAGTATATCAATATATGAGTAATAACAATAAAAATGAGAATAATGTTCATGCTTTGACTCTGTACAAGCGATAAACAATTTGTAGCTTATCAGTTTCTAGAAAGAACACTAATGTAACCTATGAATGCAGACAGTCAAGGACAGCCTTAATTGAGTACAATTAATGACAGCTTAGGCTGGAAGTTATAGGAGTTTGATTAAGAAGTTTTCAAAGTGAAGGGTTAAAGTCGGATCAGCATTTCCAGCACAGTGGGGGATAAGGTTATCAGTAAGGAGGCTCAATAAGGATGTCAGCGTAACTTCTGCGGATCTATTAAATCCACAGTCCGAAGTGGAATGCAATGGCAGAGGACGCCGGACAAGTTACGTTCTTCGAAATCGTCCTTACAACAGAACCAAGATGAGAAAGCAGAGCTAAGCCTGTTACATAGAGAAAAATAAGAGTAACTAAAATAGAGGTCATACGATTATAGACGTAGTCCAGGTAGCAAAGGCTTGACCTTAAGACTTACACAGAGGCTTTAGCCCCGAATTAGTCACCCAGACGAAGAGAATGGGTAATAACTCCTCGAGTAGCACAAATGGAGTGGCAGGGGTCGAGTGAAATATCTAGCCATGGAGATAGCAGACGGATTGTACGGAGCAGGAGAGAGACTGTGATAGGACCTAGGGAAGGAGGACTGCGTAACAATATGACAGACTCTCATCAACATTCCCAGCACAAGGATTAAGGGGGTGAGAACGCCAGCGTGGAGTGTCAGGGGTTTTAATGAATGTCGCTCAAAGGAGCACACCACACTACATCGAATTAAGCACGGTAAAAATTGCAACAGTGAAGGTGTGATAGGAGGATATAGGAAATGTGAATAGCCCAGGGCAGAAGGGGAGATGCACAACTTTTTAGCAGACGTTTGGTCAAAGGATCGGCTTTATTTGTCCCTTTGACGAGTTGTTGTATGGTGCTAAGAATGGCGAGACTAATTGACGATGTCGACTACGATGCCCGTGAAACGTCTTGGAATGTACCACATCCACGGTCCGATTTTGTAAATCATGCATACAATGGACTTCGGACTAGGTGCGTTCCTCTAATTCTTCTTACCAATATGATCAAGTTGCGAAAATAAGGTCAAATAATTTATTTTATTAACTTCTATAAAGGAAATTAACTTTAGTGATATCTAAATGAAACCACCGGTTTTCCTTTAAACATTCCAGAGCAAGGCTGAAACGTTTGCTTTGAGCTAAATGGTTAACGATATCGTCGACTCACCTCGGCATCCGCATCTCGTTCTGCCTCGGCCGAGCTTAGATCGAAAAGGAAGACAGGTGCGTACATATGGCTAACAAGCAAATGACGACTGCCGCCCCACTCACTATTCACGTCAGAACGATAACAGCCAGGCAGGTTGTCATCATCATCAACACAATCCCTTTCTCTGATGTCCTCATCGCCACTACAAGCGACAGGATCTTCGTTTGTTCGCTGTTCTTGCAGGCACAAAGTAGAAGATTGCTCTGCCCCAGTGCCCCTAGTAGAGTGCTGTCGAAGATGCTGCCGAATGGCCGCTGATTGACACCAACGCTGCTGACGCAGTCGCCGTGGAGACCAAGCTGGAGGATGAAGAGGTTCAAATTGAACCGAGGTTATGTGCAAAGCGCCATAGACAGGATGGGTTGGACTCGTCTGCCCTGTTTGTCTAAAACTGGGTAACCCAAGAGGTCTGGTGAGCAGAAAAGGATGTGGGGGGTGGCTGGAATCGCAGTCTAGCGGAGTACCAGCGCCTGTTGGCCGAGAATTGTCTATTGTGAGTGGATATACGATTCAATAGATAAAACGATGAAAAGGCCAAAATATAAGTAGAATGATAAAAAGGCAATAATTCTGAAGTATATTTTATATTTTGTCGTCCTATTTTGAGTTAAGATGGCAAGAAGCTGAAGAATCTAAGTATTTCGTCTGATTAGACACACCGATACCATGATATAGCAGTATTACTTTAGTACCGATACATGAGCCTTCTTTATTCTATATTGTCCCTTGATAAGAGTTAGTTAAACAAAGTAAAATAATAAAAAATCAAGAAGCTAATCCGAGAAAATTTTTAATAGTGAAATCGAAGGTATGAAGATTTGCTTTGCAATGAGCCTAGTAAAACCAAGTATAACAAAGCAATTGGGAGTTGGGAAAAGGAAGTCATAGGCATGACGTTATGGGTAGATAAGCGAGGAGAATAGGAGCAGAACTTATTTGGAACATGCAGTGGAAACCTGAGAAGGTTGATTCATAGTATACAGACTTGATAATAGATCCATCTCATGAAGTAAGGACTTGACTAAGAGAGGTTACCGATACACAGGCCATATTGAAATAAGGGAAGCTATGGTATTATGTTAGTAAGTTTTCGTACTGCTTGATAACCATGG